AGCTGCATGGCGACCACTTCGTAGATGGAGGGCGGGTGGCTTTCATCATGTGGCTCTCGGCTCTCGCCTCAGCGCCGCGCGCATTCGTTGTGCACGTTTGCGAGAGCTGCACGGATTGAGGGCGGGTGGTTTTCAAAATGTGGCTCTCGTATTCGCCTGACCGCCGCGCACGCTCGTTGTACACATTTGCAAGAGTTGCACGGATTGACGGCGGGTCGTTTTCAAACTGCGGCTCTCGCTTTAGTGCGGCGCACTATCGTTTTAAACAGTGACAAGGGTTCCACGGATTGAGGGCGTTTCCTTTTCAAAATGTGGCTCTCGCCTTAGCGCCAGGATCAGCGTGCCAGAAATAATGTTTAGGACGATTCAGGATTATGAGAGCGCAACAATTACGTTGATTCGCGGTGTTGAAGTCCCAAGATTGGCGTTCTGGCACGATTCAGGATCGCCAAGACACAACAATCAGGTTGATCCGTGGCGTTGGAATCCCGAGAAAGATGTTCTGGCGTGCATCAGGGTCTTCAAACGGTTGTCCTCTAACGAAGCAGTTCCCTCAGTGGGAATGAAGCCGTGTAGGGGCCTATGAAGAGGGAGCTTGGAGGGAGGATTTGTCCCGACATCGTTGATGACTCTTGAGTTTGCACTCGTCCTCTTCCTCCTCCTCCTCCTCCTCCTCCTCCTCCTCCTCCTTCCCCTCCCTTTCCTCCCCTTTGCCCTCGTTCTCGTCCTGCTCCGTCCTCACCCTCGCCAATTCCTCGTGCATGTTTCGGTTGCGTGCGTGTGCTTCTCTGCAGGAGTGGTCCCCGCCGAGAAAAAAAAAGCCCACGCCCGAACGATGCCAAAGTCCTCGGCCTGCTCCGTGCTCCCCCAGTTGCACCCCTCGATCGCCCTCGCCCCGCCCCGCCGAGCGGGTCCTGAAGCCGCGCGGCCTGCACCAGAAGCTCCTGGAGCCCGCGCACGCCCCGCACGAGCTCCTCCTGCTGGGTGCGCACGGCCTCCACCAGCTCTTGCTGCTCCTCGGGCGGGGGCAGGGGCGAGGGCGCTCGAGGCGGAGGAGGAGGAGGAGGAGGAGGAGGAGGAGGCGGAGGAGGAGGAGGAGGAGGTGGATGAGGAGGAGAAGGAGGAGGAGAAGGAGGAGGAGGAGGAAGGCAGATGGAACATCGAAGACTGGCACTGTTCTTTGTTTTTGGGTGGGGGGTGGGTGGGGGGTGGATGGTGGGGGAGACGACATCATTCCGAGTTGCTGCCCGCCTCGCGCTTCTCCCCCTCCTACTCCCTCCCCTCCTCCCCTCTTCCCCCCCGTCTCCACCTCCTCCCTTCTTCCTGCTCCTCCTTGCTGCTGCTGCTGATCCCCTCGCCTGCCTTCCTGCTCTTGATAGTCGCCCTCCCTCCTCCTCCTCCTCCTCCTCCTCCTCCTCCTCTTCGTCCCTCCTCCCTACCTTTCTGTGCTGCTGCCGCTTCATCACTTTCATTAGCTCCTCCTCCTCCTCCTCCTCCATCACCACGTCCTTCTCCTCCTCCTCCGCCTCCTCCTCCTCCTCCTTCCACTCCTCCTCCTCCTCGCGGTGAGAAGGACTGACTGATCACGTTTAATCATACACTCATGCCCTCCTCCTCCTCCTCCTCCGCCTCCGCCTCCTCCTCCTCCTCCTCCTCCTCCTCCTCCTGCCGCTGCCCCCTCCCGCTCCCTACTCCCCCTCGTGTGAGCCTCTTGGGAGCCTCTAGAAGCCTGTTGGGGCCTCCCGGGGGCCTCCAAAGGGCCACCTTCGGAGGCCGGAGGCCGTCTTGGGGGCCTGTCCGGGCCGTCGCCCCGGTCCGCCGTGGGGTTCTCGGGGCGCTTCAGGGCCGCCCTGGACGCCTGCGGGCCGTCCTGGGACCTCTTGGGGCCGTCCTGGGGGCCTCTTGGGGCCATCTTGGGGCCCTCTCCCCTCTCGGGGGCTCTGGCGCCTCCCGCCCTCCCTGTGTTGCCTCCACCCTGCCTCCCTTCTCCTCCTCCACCGCCCTTCTCCTCCTCCTCCACCGCCTTTCCTCCTCCTCCTCCTCCTCCTCCTCCTCCTCCTCCTCCTCCTCCTCCTCCTACCTCCTCCTCCTCTTCTCCTCCTCCTCCTCCTCATCACCCTCAATCCTCCTCCTCCCCCTCTCTCCCTCCTCCTGCCTCCTGTGTCCCGTCCGGCAGCTAGGGCGGCGAGAGCTAGGGCGGCGGCGACAACGGCGGCGAAGACCCTGCGAAGGGGGCCCCGCGCGGCCGGCTCCTGCAGCGCGTCGACCTGGCGCTGGAGCCCGCCGCGCTCCTGCCAGGGGGAGGCGGATTGGGGAGGGGGGGGAAGAGGCCCTGGCTCCTCCTCCTCGCTCCTCGCTCCTGCTCGCTCCTCGCTCCTCCTGCTCCTCCTGCTGCTCGCCGTGGCTCCTCCTGGCTCCTCCTGCTGCTGCTGCTGCTCCTCCTCCTCCTCGCTCCTCGCTCCTCGCTCCTCGCTCCTCGCTCCTCGCTCTTCCTCCTCCTCCTCCTCCTCCACCTCCTCCTCCTCCTCCCCCTCCTCCTCCTCGCTGATCGCTCCTCACTCTTCCTCCTCCTCCTCCTCCTCTCCCCCCGCTCCTCGTTCATTCTGCTCCTCCTCCTCCTCCCCCTCCTCCTCCTCCTCCTCCTCTTCTTATTATTATTCTTAATATTATTCTTCTTCTTCTTCTTATTATTCTTCTTATTCTTCTTCTTCTTCTTCTTCTTATTCTTCTTCTTCGTCTTATTATTCTTCTTATTATTATTCTTATTATGCTTCTTCTTCTTCTTATTATTATTATTAGTATTGTTTGTTGTTCGTCTTCTTCTTCATCTGCTTAGTATTATGTTTCTTATTATTAGTTGTTTAGGTCTTATTCTTATTTGTAGTAGTAGTATTATTATTTTCTGCTTCTTCTTCTTCCTCCTCCTCCTCCTCCTCCGCCTCCCTCCTCCTCCTCCTCCTCCTCCTCCTCCTCCTCCTCCTCCTCCTCCTCCTCCTCCTCCTCCCCCCCCTCCTCCTCTCCCCCTCCTCCTCTTTCCCTCCTTCTCCTCCTCCTCCTCCTCCTCTTCTCCTCCTCCTCCTCCTGTTCCTCCTCCTCCTCCTCGCTCCTGCTCGCTCTTCTTCACTCCTCGCTCCACCTCCTCCTCCTGGCTCCTCCTCGCTCCTACTCCTCCTGCTCCTCCTCGCTCCTCGCTCCTGTCTCCTCGCTCCTCGCTCCTCCTCCTCCTCCTCGCTTTACCTCCTCGCTCCTCTTCCTCCTCCTCCTCCGAGGATGGGGGAGTGAGGGGAGACCGAGTCGGGGAGAGTGAAAATGGAGGAGGAGGGAGGAGGGAGCCTGGAGGAGGGAGGGGGGAGGATGAGGCCAAGGATGCGGAGCAGCCGGAGGCGGAGGACGACGGCGGCAACGACGGCTCGGGCCGTCCTCGATCGAGACGCGCACGTGCGCCTCCAGGGCCCTCACCTCGGGGGCGTGCGGGCGCCGCGGCGCCTCGATGGGGCCTCGCCCACCGAGGGGGGGGCGCGGGGAAGGGAGGTCTCATGTCTTCGCACGCTGTAGCCATTGGCCATATCAACGGTCACCTCTACGCCTATACGACCACCCTTCGGGTGATAAGGGCGTTTTTGTTGGGGAAGAACCGACTGAGGACAACTGCGATGATTGTGATGCTGGCGATGCTGGCGATGCGCTCACGAGTTGGCGACGACGCAAGAGGACGATGCTGACGATCGATCTCCAGTTCTCATCGATCTCACCCCCGAAGCCTGACTATCGATCTCATTAGCGATCCTGGACCCCACCTCGATACGATCGGGGCACCATCGGGGCACCGCCATACCATCGGGACACCATCGGTGCATCGTCGGGTACACATCGGGACACCATCAGGACACCACCGGGGCACCATCGGGACACGAATCGAAACGCCAACCGTACAACACCAGGACATCACCAAAACACAATCGGAACACCGATCGGGCCACCTATCGGACACCACCGGAACACCATCCAAACAGTATAGGGGCACCATCAGAACATCAATCGTGACACCAAGCGGGACACCGACCAGACACCGACGGCGGGAAACCGACGGCGGGACACCGTCGGCGGGACACCGGCGGGACACTGACGGCGGGATACCAACGGGGCACCGACGGGACACCGACGGGGCACCAACGGGACACCGATGGGGCACCAACGGGACACCGACGGGTCACCCACGGGACGCCGACGGGACACCGACGGGACACCACGGCGGGACACCACGGCGGGACACCCGTGGCCACGCTGGCCCAACGGAGGGGCGGTCTTTTGTCTTGACCCGCCCAAGCCACAGCGGAGTCATTCCTCTCGCCTCGCCAACGCAGCTTCGCTCGCCCCGCTCAACGGTTCCCGTAAGATGAGGAGGATGTATCAACAGCGGCGCGATCGTAAGATCGAAGTGTATCGTAACGGTCGCAAGGCGAGGGGAGAAGCTGGGAAGGGTGGGGGTGGGGGACCAGACAACCAGAAACTTTGGGCAGTCCGCGTAGACTTCTCGGGTCGTAGCCGGAACCCGTCCCCGCATCCGTGGCGGCGAGCCACCAAACATCCGAGCGCACATCTGAGCGTCTATGCTTATGCACTTCTCGGTTTTCGAAGGAGGGAGGGGCGATTGGAGCCACCTGACAGCCCTCCCACAGTCTTCGTGAGCTCGAGGAAGAAATATGGAGCTGGAGCAGGGCGCGGATTGAGCCGAGGATTCAGCACGATCCAGCCAGATCAGGCTGGATTGCGCCAGACTGGCGCCAACCAGCCAGTCTGATTCAACCCTCCAGCAGCTTCAACCCTGAGGGCGGGGAGAGGGAGGTCTGGAGGATCGGGTGCGCGCCAACATAACTGGATCGGGGAGCGTGTCCCCCGAAGCACGAGGCCCATGCTGCCTGGCTTGGCAGCCGAGCGCGCCGATTTTGCGGAGATACGAGGCCCATCGCTCGTCCATGCGCCTCGCGATCCATGTCCTCGCGCTTCCCTGAGAAGAGGCGGGGGCCTCACCCTTCCAGTCCTCCTCTCCCGGCCCATGCCCCCTCCTCATCGCACTCGTCCTCGTCCTTCCTCCTCATCCTCCACGCTCTTCTCCTCCTCCATCCCTCTCCCTCCTCGCTCCTCTATTCCTTCTGGCCCCCCTTCTCTCTCGCTCCTCTTCTTCCTTCTCCTCCTCTCGCTCCTCGCTTGCCAGGGCCAAGCCCCGCTGCTTCCCCCGTTTCCCCCGCACGCGTTCGCGGGGGGGGGGGGAGCAGGAGGAGGCAGAAGGAGAGAGAAAGAGAGGGAGAGAGAGCGAGAGAGAGAGAGAGAGAGAAAACACAAAAAAAGTGAGAAGGGAGGGAGGGCATAGATCTTGTGTCTTCCCCCCACGTATGAGTTGCGATGCTGCGAGAGGGTTGCGCAGAGGGCGGCCCGGAAGGCCTTGCTCGGCAAACTGCGTGGACATACTATCCGCATCGACGAGCTGTGCGCCACCAACAGACAGCCGAGGGCACAGCTGCACACATGTTTGATTCGCGGGTCGAGAGCGCACCTCTTCCGGTCGAAGCTAAGCGGGCCGCGCGAAGCTTGAACTAACCAGGCCCAGCTGCGCACATGGGGGGCCCTGGAATCTATATCTGGCGGCCACAAGGCACCTAGCAACGGGCCCCAGATGCTTCAACTGGCTAACAAATCTCGTCGTTGACGCTCTCCTCAAGATCGAGGTCGTCGTCGTCGTCGTCGTCCTCCTCCTCACGAAGATCCTCCTCCTTCTAGAGGGGGGCCTTTCGAACCTCCTCTTCCTCGTCGTCCTCCTGGAATGGGGATCTTCTCCCCGCCCGGGAGGAAGCCCTTCCGGAACCACGCCGTCGTCGTCCTCCCTCCTCTTGCAGGCAGAGCGAAGCTACTTTTTGGTCGCAGCGGCGCTGATCCACGCCCCGGTCGGAAGCAGCCGAGGGCCCTACGGGGCCTAATTTTAGGTCGGGCATGTTCTCCGACAGGCAGATCTAGAAGGACAAAAAAAAGATGCCCCCCAAATGCGCAAGAATAATCAAAAATACTCGTAAGATCGTCCCCAGACTATTTTTTGACTATCTGTGGATATTCCTCCTGTAAAGGGACAAGCCCGACTTAAGCCTAATTGGGCACAACAGGAAAGGAACGCGGGGGCGCGGGGGGAGCAGACGGAGCACGCTTCAGGCATGACACTCTGGAACGCGTGTGCCGGACATGGCAAGCACAACGATGAGATGTGGGAGAAGTCCGGGGATGGTGAGCGTTTTTTTTTCGGTGTTTCTACACTGGGCGGAAGGAGGGGACCGAGGGGAGGGTTGGCTCCGGACCTCTGCTTAATACGACTGTTTGCAACAGGGCGTCCATTATGGGGGAGACTCCACCTGCTCGAAACAGGCGCCCAAAACAGCCAAGACTCACTCCATGGGGGGTGGGGAGAGGGGGGGGTGCGAGGGCCCTCGCCGATCGGCAAAACAATGAATAACAAAATATCACGCGTGAGTCGCACTCGAATCCAGGGGCCAAGGTCTTGGGGACTGTGTTGCCAGGTGATGCGCAGCAGCGAGAGATTCACAGGTCAATACAGCCCGATGGCAGAAGCCGACCTGGGTAGCCGACAAACAACATCGCCCAAAAAACATACGATTGGACGAAGCCCAGGGGAAAGAAACCGTACACTGACGCGAGGGTCACACGGAGCGGAGATTCACGCGCGCTCACGCGCACGCGCGCGACCATGCACACGCGAACTCGCACGCACGCGAGTGCATGCGCACGCACTGCCCCCGTTTGAGAGCGAGGCGTGACTACACTGCCAGGACCCCCACCCCTGGGCCCCGTCCCGTCCCCCTTCCTCCCGCCACATTCATGTTTTTACACTCCTAAATGAGGTGCCGACAAGACGGGTCCAGCACCCGTTTTTTACGAGGGACCATGGGTTCGAGCAACCAACGGCGTGGGTTCCAACACCCGATTGACGAGGGAAGATTGTTCCAGCAAGTTATTCCGACAAGAGAAATGGGCTGTCGTCTGGAAAAGAAACTAGACCGACCCGCGCCCCAGCCACGAACCGTCACACAATTCACCAGCAACATATTCACCTAACTGTAGATAGACCTGCCTCGTGCTCATCAGCACGTGAGGCGCATCGAAGACAGGCGCATCGTCATCGACCTATGCAGATTTTGTAAAACTACAAGCATCGTGATCCTTGAATTAGGAACGAAGGTCAGTTCTGGCCACGGCGAGCCTCGGCCACGATTAGCCCCCGATCCATGTTTAGAGGGGGAAGCAACATAAACAATATTTCTCGGATGTCCACGCAGACTTTTGGATCGGCGCTGGGCCCTTCCCTGGCGCGCGGAGCGCGCCAGGGCGCGGCGCCAGAGGCGCCGTTAGGGGGGGGGGGGGCAGCGCAGACTGTACTTTCTCAGGGGGGGCGTAGTGGCCTCCTAGATGAGGTCGGAAAGAATGGGGTCGGAGGATCGCGCCGCATCGGCCATACACTGGCGACGTCGGCGATGCATCGGCGCCGTCGGCGTGGAGAAAGTCGGGCGCATCGTGCGTGCATCGGCGATGCGGCGCAATCCTCTGGCCCCATCTGCTCGGACCCAATCTGGGAGGCCTAGAGCGGGCTCCGCATCGCGCGTGCATCGCCGATGTGGCGCAATCCTCCGACCACATCTGCTCGGACCCTATCTGGGAGGCCTAGAGCGGGCTCCGCATTGAGCCGCATCGCCGATGCATCTTTGATGTGGCGCAATCCTCAGACCCCATCTGCTCGGACCCCATCTGGGAGGCCTAGGGGCCGGGCTCCGCATTGAGCCGCATCGCCGATGCGTCGGCGATGCGGCGCAATCCTCCGACCCCATCTACTCGGACCCTATCGGGGAGGCCTACTGGCCATCGCTCGGACGTCCATCTTCAGTGCATGTTTGGATTCCGTGCGCTCATTTTTCGAACATGGTCCAAGCCACTCCTCCATGGCCCTCGCCCAGGCACGTAAATGCACACGCCCGAGCGATGCCAAGCCGTCAGGGAGTGGGCTTAAGTGGGGCCTGTCCTCCTACAGGGGGGTCTTGGACGACAAAATAAAACATAATCAAACAATACCCCAACATGGTCAAACATACTCAACACATCGCCCCCAGACTTCTTTTGACTACTTTTGAATATTCCTCCTGTCGAGGGACAGGCCCGACTTCAGAGCAGGCGCCGCAGAGCGGGCGTGCCTGCGCCGTCAGGGCCTCCACCTGCGCCTTCGCCGCGCCCGGGTCGCTGAGCGCCGACACCTCGGGGCGTCGGGGCGTCGATCGAGGCGTGGCCTCTTCCTCCTCGTTCTCGTTCTCGTTTCTCCTCCTCCTCCTCCTCCTGCTCCTCCTGCTTCTCCATCCTCCCCTCCGCCCCCCCCCAAGAGCGGCGAGGGGCGGAAGCCGCGGCAGAGGGCCGTGGGCCCTGCTCGTGCTGGAGGCGCTCATGGCGTCCTGGGCTCGGCCCGAGGACGAAGGCCCCGGGCCGGCCCAGGAAGCGGCCCCGGGAGGACCCGGGGCTCGCTGACCAGAAGCAGGGATCAGGTCAGGCGGACGTTGGGCGTAAAACAACAAGCAGCAAAACCGATCCCCCAAATAGTCAAAACAAATCATCCGAGAATCGTCCCCAGACTACTTTTTGGGGCTATTTTTGAACGTTCCTCCTGGACAGGGACGTGCCCGACTGAAAGCAAGGAGGAATATGACAAGGACAGGACACAGCGGGGATGGGCGGCGAAGAGGAGGAACTGCGGGGGGGGATCGGGGCGCGGCGGGCGGCGGATGCCGCGGCGGAGGGCCGTCGGTTCTGCTCACCCCGGAGGTGCTGCCTCCGGAAGCCCTGCTCGGGCCGAGAATGCAAGACGAAGCCAGGAGGAGGAGGTTAAGCTCATGTGCGGGATCGATCGAGAATTTTTGAGGTCTGGCGGTTCTGGAGGATGTTTCGGGCGCCGGCCGCGGCCTTCTGAGAGCGTGCCCGAACGCTCTGAGAGCGTTCTGGAACGCACTGGAACGAACTATCCTCGTCCTAGCCCCGTCCGAACGAGGATGATGTTACGATGCGAGCGGCTCAGGCTACGTTCTGGGAGTCCCGGACCATCTATAGCGGCCCTCGTTCCTGCAGCGCGTGCGGAACAGCAGATGATCTTGGAAACCTCGGGGCGTATCGCTGGGTATCTTGGCGGTGCGCAGCAGGGGGTGGAGGGAGGGGGGAGGGCTTCTTAGAAGGAGGCTGCTTCTTAGAAGGCGACGGCCTTACATCTATATAGACAAGGCCCGCGCCTTCTAAGAAGCAGGGGTGCTTCTACGAAGCCCTCCCCCCCTCCCCCGCACCCCCTCTGCGCGTGGCTGCGCATCCTGAGGCCTTGCTCCGCTGACTCCCCTCCAATGGCTCGGGCGCGGTGTGCACGCGCCCGCTCTGGGCCCCGCGAGGGCTGGCCGGGGCCAGCCGAGCTCCCGCCAGTCTCGCGGAGGGGCCTGCGCGGGGTCCGAGGAGGAGCGGGGGGGCCCTCCCTCGGAGGCTCTAGGCGTCCGAGTGCAGGGGGGGGGGGGTCGCAAGTCATGCCCCAGGCACGTGCGCGGCCCAGGGGAGAGGGGGCCACGAAACCTGGGGAGATGGCATGGCCCCGGCCATGAAGTGGACAGGGGGGAGGAGAAGGGAGGAAGGTAGAGAGGAGGGGGGGAAGGAGGAGGAGTGAGGATGGAGGAGGGGGGAAGGAGGGGAGGGGGAGGAGGGAGGAAGGGGGGAGAAAGGAAGGAGGGAGGATAGAGGATGGAGGAGGAAAGGGGGAGAGAGAAGGGCGACGAGGACAGGATAGAACATTTGTTTGCCTCCCTGGCCCTCGTCGTCGTCGTCGTCATCGTCGTCGTTGTCGCCCTCGTCGTCGTCCTCGCCGTCGTCGCGGCATAACGTTTTTGTTCGGCCCCCGCGGTGCTGCCACGTGACCACTAGCACGGAACAGTTGTTCTTGCGCCTCCAGGCGTTACCGCGTGGCGAGTATAATGGCATAACCTGTCGTGTGCCCCCCCTCCCCCGACGTTGCCACGTGACGAGTAGAGTAGAACAGTTTTTGTTTCAGGCCTCCGCAGCGCTGCCACAGACAAGTAGGAGGATAATAATATAATAGTTTTTGTTTCAGGAGAGAATCTAATCTAATAGTTTTTTGTTTCAGGAGAGAATAGAGCAGAATAGTTTGTTTGCCACGTGACGAGTGGAGTAGAACAGTTTTGGCTTCAGGGGAAGTAGAGTGGACGGAATGTTGTTTCTTCGTGCCCCCCCCGGCGTTGCCACGTTGCGCGTGGAGGGGCTTTGCAATTGGTTTGGCCCCCACCGTCGCTGCCACGTGACGAGTAGCGGAATCATATCTGCTTTGTCGTCCCTCGAGAGGTGCCACGTGGCGAATGGAGTGGAGTCATGTTTTTTATTCCGGCCCCCGCGGCGCTGCCACGTGACGAATAGAGTGGAATAGTACTTTGTCGCTGGCCCGAGCGTTGCCACGTGGCGGCTATCAAACCAATCAACCAACCAACCAACCTACCGACCAACCACCACCCACCCACCGGCCAACCAACAATCCCGCTGCATTGCATTGCACTGCGTTGCATTCGCATTGCAAATGCAGTGCATTGCATTGGAGTAAATTGCGGACGAGGGGGGGGAGGACAGGAGGGAGGAGAAGGGAGGAAGGCAGAAAGGAGGGGAGGAAGGAGGAGGAGTGAGGAGGGAGTATGGGGGGAAGGAGGGGAGGGGAAGGAGGGAGGAAGGGGGAGAAAGGAAGGAGGCAGGATAGCTGATGGAGGAGCAAAAGGGGGAGAGAGAAGGACGAAGAGGAGGACAGGATGGACTGTTTGTTCGCCTCCCTGGCTCTCGTCGTCGTCGTCGTCGTCGTCATTATCGTCGTCGTCGTGAAGTCGTCGTCCTCGACGCCGCCCTCGTGGCATAATGTTTGTTTCGGCCCTCGCGGCGCTGCCACGTGACGACTAGAATGGAATTCGATTGCTTCGGGTCTACAGGCGTTGCCACGTGGCGAATGGCGTGGCATAATATTCTTTCCGGCCCGCGCGGCGTTGCCACGTGACGAATAGGGTGGAATAGTTGTCTTTCCGGCCCGCGCGGCGCTGCCACGTGACAAGTCGAGTGGATGCAATACTGTTTCTTCGCGCCTCCAAGCGCTGCCACGTGGCAATATGAGTGTTTTTTTTGGGGGGGGGGGCCAGCGGTCACGCGATGAATAGAGTGGAGTAATATCTTTGTTTTGCCCCCCAGGCGGTGCCATGTGACGAATAGAATGGGCTAGTATTCATCTAGCCACCGCGGCGCTGCCACGTGACGAGTAGAGTGGACTAGTATGTTGTCGCCCGCCAAGTCGTTGCTACATGGCGAGTGGAGTGGAACATATTTTTTCGGTCCCGCAGGGCTGCCACGTGACGAGGCGCACATTGCGTTACAGTGCACTGCATTGCAATTCATTGCATTGCGTTGTCTTGCATTTCATTGTGTTGCATTTTATCGCATTGTATCGCGCTGCATTGAATTGCATCCGGTTGCATTGCATTGCGTTGGATTTGCATTGCATTTCACTGCGTTGAATTGCATTGCATTGCATCCTGTTGCGTTGCATTGCGTTGCACCGCGTTGCATTTGCATTGCAGTTGCAATACATTTCATTGCAATAAATTGTGGGCGAGGAGGTGGAGGAGGACAGGGAGGGAGCAGCAGGAAGGTACAGAGAGGAGGGGTGGAAGGGAGAGGAGTGAGGAGGGAGGAAGGGGGAGAAGGGGAGGGGGAAGGGAGAGGAGAACCGGCCAACCACCCAGGCAAGCGGGCAACCGACCACCCAACCACCCAACCAACCAACCAACCGACCACCAACAAACCAACTGGCCAACCAACGAACCAACCGGCCAACCAATCAACCAGCCAACTAACCAACCAACCAACCACCCCATCGCCTGGGAAGCAAGAAGTTGCCTTGGAAACTGGTGAGCCAACCAGCCAGCCAACTAGCTTTCAAACCCACCAACCAACCAACCACCCAAGCAATCAACGACCAATTCACCAACCAACCCGCCAAACAACCGTCGCCGAACCAACCAACTAACCAACCACCTGGGAAACAAATTTATTGACCCGGAATCCGGCGAGCCAACCAGCCAACCAACCCACGGACCGACCAATCTTTCCCAACAATTCTTTGGAAAACGTCCCACACGGCGGGTCCCGGAAATAATTTGGAATGGCAAATATGTATTTGACCTTGAAAGAAAGCATGCTTTGATCCAGCAATCGGCGAGCCAATCAGCCAACCAACCCACCAACCAACAAATATTTCAATAAGATGTTTCGAGGATTTCCAAAGCGGCGGGTCCCAGACATATTTTTGTGACTTGGTTCTTTCTGACCTTGCAACACAATATTCTCCTTTTATTATGAAAGAACATTAAGTACACTTCTCCTGGGCACTGGACGGACCTAAGAAGATAAGGAACAGCCGAAGAGGCAAGGCCACAAGGGCACCCTTGGAAAATTACTTGTCCTTCTGGTGCGATCTGAATGTGTCCGTATGCGAAAATAGCACGTTGCCCCCGAGCGGCTGGCAAAATCAAGAATTACTAATTCAGGACACGCCTCTGGAAGAAGCGGGACGCGCCAGTCGCGTTGAACGAGAGCGCCTGGCGCAGCGGCAAAGCTCCAGCACAAGCAGGAATTGCCTCGGCACTAGGTGCCTCGGGTGCGGCGCCGATCCGTGCCTGACGCTTCAGCGTTCTGCGGCCAGCTCCAGCACAGAAGTTCGGCCGCCGTTGTGGGGTACGATGTGCCGCCCACGAGCGCGGCCCTGGCTGGGATCTGGCCGCTGGCCTGGTGGTGGCTGCCCCCTCGGCTCGATCCCCCGGAGGCTCGCGCCTCGCCGCGGAGGCCCAGCCTGAGGCGGCACCAGGCTTACCGCGCGAAGGCTCCAACAGAGCCGCCAGCCCAGCCCCCCGCGCGTGGCGCAGCAGCCGCAACGACGTCGCTCGCCAGCGGGGGGACACAGAGCAAGCCGTGCATCACGCCGCGGGCGCGCGCACCAGCCGGCAGCGCAGGGCGGGCGACGCCCACCACCGAGGGCAGCGGGTGCGGCCCCCGCGCCCGCGCCCCCGCGGCGGCTTGCGCCAAGGCCCGGGGCGCTGCTGCCCGCGGCGGCCAAGCAGACCGGGTGGGCGCGTCGTTGGCCTCGGCGATGTCGTCGTCGTGGCTGGTGCTGCGTCGGAGCCGTCCGTGAGTG